CTCCACACACACAGCTGGAGCACCTGGAGCCGGAGACAGAGGCATGCATCAGCTCCAGAGAAAACTCTAAACCACCTCAAGAGCTGGTGCCGGCCCCAAGGCGACTGCCCGCCAAAGCCCAGAGCCAGTGGATGCTGCGGCCATGGCTCTCTCTCAAGCTCCAGAGCCAGGGCTAGCACAGGCTCACACTGAAGCTCTCATTCCAACTGGGGAGCCAGAAGGAGCCCCCGCACCGGCGTCAGCTTCGCAGCCAGAGCAGGCCAAGCAGCTGCTCTCATCCAAGTTCAAGAGCTAGAACAGCCCCCTGTGCGGGCTCCCGCTCCAGATCCACACAAGGTTCTAACAATGGCTCTCATCATCCCGAGTACGAGTCTCTGTGCCTCAGTTTCCTCGTGTGTGGCATGGATACTGCTCCGAGGGTGCATACAGGCTGACCTTTATTTTTCTCTGCTGAGCCAGGAACCGTTCCAGGCTGTGCCAGTGACTCACGAAGGGCCAAGTGCTTGGATCAGGGCCTGGCACCCAAGCCAAGCAGCTCTGGTCACTTCCGCAAACCTGGGGCCCGGGTCTTACGGTTTAGGATGAGGGTGAAGCAAAACCTGTGAGTCAAGGTAAAGAGGAATCTTCGGCGAATACCCAGGAACGCCGGGGAAGGGACCACGGGGCCCGGGTTTGGGGATAACAGAACGATGGTTCCCAGACAGGCCCGGAGTGAACACCCAGTTCTGTCAGTTACAACCCTGAGCCAGGCACGTCCCCTCGTAACCTCCAGGCACAGCTCAGCCCTCCTCGCCCCTGCAAAGCCCTCCGCAACCCCCCCCCCCCACACACACACACACACACTCAGGCCCCCGTGGATCACTCCTCACTGTCGGGGAGGAGTCTGTCTTCCATTGGACTGTCCAACCCAGGGGGCAGGGCGGGCTGTCTGGGCCATTGCTGGGTCCCCAACACTGCCCATCCCAGAGCAGGCTATGCATTCAGTCCCCAGTAATAGCCACGGCTGTTGAGCATTTACTGTGTGTCAGGTACCACGCTCAGAGCGTCACGTGCCTATTCTCATCGCCTGTGGTCCTGTCATCTCCACTTGACAGAGAAGGAAACTGAGGCACAGACTTGCCGGAGGCCACCCAGCTGCTCAGGGCCAGGGCTGAGATGGGAACCTGCCTGCCCTGTACCCGCCATTAGCCACCTTTCTCTGCGGCCGAGACGTCGGTTGAATGAGGGCAGGTGAGGAGTGACCTGTCCCTTTTGCCCCTGTCCCCAGCCAAGCCCCAGAACAAGGCTGAGACCCAGGAGGCCCCGCCCAGCCCCCCAGGCCAGGAGCCTGCGCCTGAGGCCCGCTGCGTCTCCACCGGAGGTCGCCCACCCGCCCGGATCTCCTGGTCCCTGGATGGGAAGGTCAGCAAGAGCCGGTGCCAGGACCCTGCCCGGCAACTCACCGCTTCAGCCTCTTAACCTCAACACCCTCCAGCCAGGTGGACGGCCAGGCTGCCACCTGCACAGGGGGGCATGGAGCCTGAAGGAGCCCAGCCAACTGCCCGGGCCCCTCACTGTGCCCCGTGTCTGTGCCCACGTGTGAGCGTGAGTGGCAACCACTGCCAGCCGGCCCACACAGCACGGCTGTTCCCTAACCTGACCAATGTGGAGAGCGGCTACAGCAGCGGTTCTCAACCTTGGCTGCACATGAGAATCACCTGGGAATCTTTTTAAAATCCTGATTTCTGGGCCTCATCCTCTGGAAATTGTTTCTTTGTTACTAACGTTGATCAGGTGCATGTAATTGAGTAGATTCGAAACCCACCTGAACATTGTAAACATCTTGACCACGCCCTCCCTTTGCCTCGTGGGATCTGACTCTAAAATAAAGACTCGGTGTGCAGGCCGTGGCGCTGTCTCTCCATCAGAGAGGCGCGTCCCACCTAGCCCCAGCTTTATTCTCTTGTCTGTCTTCTCCATCCTTCACCGCCCACCCCCCTCAGGTTCACCCACGGCCCACAGCCCACGCTGCTCCCCAGGTGGTCTCCCCTGGGTCCCCTGGCCCCTGTCTACACAGACACCCACACTGTCTACACAGCTCCCTTCAGCACAGTCCTCACACCGCCCGCACCCGCTTCCCTGGGCAACTGCATACACTGCCCTGGCCCTATTGCTAAGCCGCCGTCCCACTATCTACACCACCTTCCCTGTCCGCTTTCCACACGCCTTACCATCGTCTACACTGGCTCCTCTGGGCCGCAGAGAGCACTGCCCCCATCGTCTGCACAGTCACTTCGGCCCCGGGGGAGCTGTATTCTCCGTGTCGTCCAGGCCGCTCCTGTGACCGCCGTCTGCATCGACACCCTACATTTCCTACCCTGGCTCTCGGAGGCACTCCCTCCACTGCCCCCAATGTTGGCTGCACTGGCTCCTCTAGGGTCCATGTCCTCCTGTCATTGTCCACACGGATGGGCAGTGGCTATGCTGATTCCCTCGAGTGCGATCTGCACTGGACACTCCCTATATTGTCATTGGGTCTGAGGGAGGAGGGTGTACACTGACCACCCCCAGTCAGCAAAACCACTGTCTCGTGGGCTTCCCTCTGACCGATCCTGTTTGGGGTGGACAAGCAGCAGGCTGACCCGCTCATCCCGGATTCTCTCCTGCAGGACTTGTCAGAGCCTTGACGATGGCCTGTGTGCCATGCGTGTCCAAGTGCCCTGATCTCCCGGGACTCGCGAGGCAAGCCGGGGCCTGGCTGCCCAGGAGAACAAGGAGAGGGAGGCAGGTCCCAAGCCCTCTCTGTGTGCTGCCTCCTCCCACGGCCAGGGCTCCCGGGGGAGGCATTGCCCCAGACGCCTCCCAGGCCTCTCCATCTCGGGCTGTTCCTGAAATGCACTGAGGCTTTTCCTCTTCTGGCGTGAATCTCGCATATCTTTAGGCCCCTCCGAAGGCTCCCTGTCACTGAGCTTGCGTGTCTGTTTCACCCTGATCCCCGCCACCCCCACCCCGAGGTCCCCATCTCTGGCT